AATCTCTAACAATCATAATATTCTATTTATGGTAACTAGAATCAACATCAATCTTCCCTCAATCAATTAGGGATTTCGTCACTCCTCCTCAAGTTGGATCATAGATGTTAATCATATTCAACTTGAAAATGAAATCATCGAATTTCTATCTAGGTAGTCCTTCGGTGAAAACATTTGCAATCTGTGCTTGTGTAGGGACATAAGTCATGCAAATAGTTCCTTCCTCAACCTTCTTTAATAAAGTGTCTATCCACCTCTACATGCTTAGTTCGGTCATACTGAACTGGATTAAAAGAAATGTTGATTGCTGCTGTATTATCACTGTAGAGTTTGATTGACAACTTTATAGTGACATGTAGTTCTTCCAAAAACCTTCTCAACCACAATCCCTCGCATATCTTTGTGCAGCGGCTCTGAACTCGGTTTCTGCACTACTTCTGGCTACTATATTTTGTTTCTTGCTTCTCCATGTTACTAACTTTCCCCATACAAAGGTACAATAACCAGTAGTGGACCTCCTATCTTCTATCAAACCTGTCCCCGTTTGCATTTGTGAAAACTTCTACTCCTTTCCTTTCACTCCTTTTGAAGAGTAGCCCATTTCCTGTGGATTTCTTGAGATACTTGAGTATCTTATAAACTGATTCTAGGTGACTTTCCTTCGGAGAATGCATGTCTTGACTTACCAAGCTAACTGCAAATGCGATGTCATGTTTGATGTCTGATAGATTAGTTTTCCAACCAGTTTTTGATATTTGTCAATTTCTACTAGCTTTCCTCCATTTTCAACTTTCTTTTCCACATCTACTGGTGTATCACGTGGTTTGCATCCAAGCATGCCTGTTTCGGTTAGAAGATCAAGTACATATTTTCGCTGTGATACACTGATGCCTTTTCGAGATCTGCCCACTTCCATTCCCAAGAAGTATCGTAGTGGTCTCAAATCCTTTACTTCAAATTCAGTGACAAAGCTCGTCTTTAGTCTTTTCATTTCAACTATATTATCACCTGTCAGAATAATGTCATCGACATATACGATCAAAATAACTTTAGTACCATTTTTAAATGGTCGAAGAAACATGGCGTGATTTGATTGTCCTTGACGATATCCCTGGCTTTTCCAAATCTGTCAAACCATGCTCTTGGTAACGCTTGAGTCCATATAAGGATTTTTTCAGTTTACATACCCAATTTGTTTCATTTACCCTGCAAAATCCTAGTGGTAGGGTCATGAATACTAAACTTTGATTAAAATTTTGATGCAAACGAAGGCCAAATAAACACTAAACTTTGATTAAAAAAATGAGTTTTTAGGAAACA